TGCCTTCCTGGGAACTCGGATCTCCCAGAGACGTAGCAAAGCATGACTGGTGAGTCTTAGTTCTCAGAAACCACTGACATTAAGCCAAGATGCCCCCAGCTGCCAGCCCCGCCCCCCTCCCTGCCCCAGCTGCTTATGAGGCCAGAAGCAGGCAGCAGGCTCCACCTGGCAACAAGTCACAATGCCCCAGCTGCCCAGTCCCAGTCGCAGAAGGGTTGGCCCAAAGTGGGAGGAGGTGAGGAGGGAGGTTGGTGGGTAGGTATGGGGGAAGGGAAGGTTTATGCCCCATTCAAGCCCAATTCCTCATTTTCAGAATTCATCTTTGAGCGCCTGCTGGGACCCTCTCCCCTCTCAAGCCTGACCCCTGATACTGCCTCCCGGCTCTCGCCCTGCTCCCTTCAAATCCCTCCATGACCCGGCTCTACTTCTCCAGGCCCCAAACACTGGCAAGTCTGATCCCAATCCCCACCAGAGGCCTGGAGGCTGGAGAGGGGTCAGGTAGCCCAGAGGACCCAAGTGTGTCCCTCTGGGGTCCTGGCCTGGCCCAGCTCCTGGACAGTGCTTTAGGGCTGGCGGTGCTGGGGCTGACCGCTCGGACGGTCCTTTTCACGATCAAACCAGCGCTGCTGCTGCTGCTGCTCCTAGTCAGTTTCCTCTCCTTTGACCTGCTTTGTGGGTAAGTGGGCCGATGGTCTGGCAGGTGAGTAGACACATGTGGGCCAGTGGTCAACCCCTCCCATTTCTCTGTGCAGGCCCCAAGCTCCCACCCTGGCACAGCACAGGCTCCTCGCAGGGGGCCAGAGTCGGGGGGCCGGCGAAGGTCCAGGACACCAGGAGTCCCTGCTTCTGCCCCTGGTCACAAGACCAGTCAGCCTCCAAGATGCACTGCTCCTGCTGGTGTCCAGCCTGGGGCTGCTGCTGTGGGCTCACGGCGTGCCCCTGCTCCTGCTAGGCCTGGCTTTCTGCCTCCACCCTTGGGTCTGAGGCCCCTCCCCAACCACTGGCTATCTTCCTGAAATATACTGGCCACTCTGTTTCCTCAAGTCTCCATCCTTCCTTTGTGGGGTGGGCAGGTGTGGGGGGGTATCTGAACCTCCAGGAACCCCTGATCCTACCACTTGGGCAGTGGGTCACCTGGGTCTGCTCTGGGGGCCCAGCCAGGGAAGGGAAGGTGTGAGGAGAGACAGGGAGCCCAGGTGGGAAGGCGACTGTGATCTCACCCTGCGGGTGGGGAATGGCCATTCTGGCCTCCTCTGTGGTTCCAGAGAGGGAGGGCCTGGGGAGGAAAGACTTGTGAGAAGAGTGGGCTGGGGCTGGCAGCCAGGCAGCAGGGAAGGGCTTCCCACAGGAAGCATCCACACCTGCATCCCAGGACTCCTCGGACTCTCCTGCCAGCCTGGAGGGGTTGCAGTGGCTGCTCTCTTGGCCGGGCCCCACCCCAGTCCGGGTCACAATAGGGCTCCTCTGGGGAGGGTGGGAGTGGACAAGAGTGGGGAGCTCGGATCGGCCTGCCAGGATGTCCTGGGTGCTGTAGGAAGCAAGATGACCTAGTGACTCTGCTCAGAGGTAAGTCCCAGCTACCAGCTGGCAGCCCCACCCCAACCACACTGGTGCCTTCCTGAGCCCTGCACCCCCACCTGCCTCTGCTGGCCTGTTCCCGCAACTGCCCCATGCCATGCCCCCCTACCCTCTCCCCAGGTGCGCCCACCGTGATGCAGCAGCCTCGAATGGACACAGATGCCATCGGTGCTGGCGAGGGGCTGCAGCCTGTGGCGCCCTGGTCAGCCTGGGTCTCCAGGCAGGGCTGGGTGCGCTGGTGGGTGTGCCATGTGCCCCGCAGCTGGGCCCGGTGGTGGGCCACATCGGGCTGGCGGCAACCTTTGCAGCGCATGCTGTGGGGCTTTGAGGGAGTGCTCTACCTGCTGCTGGCTCTGATGCTGTGCCACGCACTCTTCACCACGGGCTCCTACCTGCTCAGCTCCCTGTGGCCCGTGGCTGCTGCCGCCTGGCGCCACCTGCTGCCGGCCCTCCTGCTACTGGTGCTCAGCGCCCTGCCTGCCATGCTCTTCACCACCTCCTTCCTGTTGCTCTTCTCCACACTGCTGAGCCTCGTGGGCCTCCTCGCCTCCATGTCCCACCCCGACCAAGCTCAGGACTTGGACCAATAGAAGGCAACCCCACCCCCACTGCCTGTGTCTGTTGAGCCCAGGCCTAGGACCCGAGGCCTGGGGAGAGGGAGGGCAGCGGGACTAGGACTTTGCAGCTTGAGCAGGCCCCTGCACCCCTGGCTGTTAGCACAGGCTGGGGCTCCTGACAGTGTTTCTGGATCCGACAGCACAGACCGGCCTGACGCCTGGGCACCTCCCACAAGTTGACACTGCAGGTACCTGGTGTGGGGGGTGGTGGTGGAGGGTTTTGGACAGGAGGGTGTAGGGAGAGAAGGCTTCATTAGGACAGGACCTGGCCAAGCCACTGAAGGCACCCACGTGAACGTGGTGATGCTACTGGCAACGGGCAGCATTTTCTTCTGGCGATTTGCTCAGCTGGCACAACCCAGACCTCCCTGGACTTGCCACTTCCCTCCACTAGCCCCTCTCCCCACTGTCAGGGGTCCCACAGATTAGGAGACAGATTTGTTGACAAAAGACCATGAGAACTCAGTGAAAGCCCCCACAACACCTCCACTCACCTTCTAGACCTTTCCAAGCAGGCATCCCCTGCAGCCATGGGTTTTGGAGATGGGCTAACCGGGGTTGGCCTGGTGAGGTTCCCAGAGAGTAGTGACCCCCAATGTCTGTTGCTGACAAATGAGTAAGTCTCCCCTCACCAGCCACACACTGTGCGAAGTTGCCCTGGTCGTCCGCTGAGCCTCAGGGCTCGAGGGGGGTGGGGGGTGGGGTGGGAGGCCGGGGGTCCTGTCATTGTGTCACCTTGGATTGTCAGAGCTATGAAAGCCGCTGTCCAGCTGGGGGGTGGGGTGGGGGTGGGGGGGGCCCGCCTTAGCAGGGGGTGGTTGTGTGTCTGTCTGAAGTGCTTGATAAAGACCAGAAAACTGTCAGAGGTTGTTTTGAACATGCAGAACCGATCTGTAGGCTCGGAAAGTCTGTTAACCCTGAAAGCTCTCAAAAAAGCCGGCAGCTTCCTAGCCCGTCAGTAAAACGCTGTCCTAGATAGGACTCTGGCCCTCAGATAAGGGGGTGGGTGGGACAAGGGGTGAAAGGCTGCCGTGTGCTATGAAATCTCAAATTGTGCAGATGTGAAACTCTGCTGGTTGTGAAATACTTGGGTCTGGGGCTCGGTGCCAGGAGATGCTTGTGCAGCTGTACAAGTAGGGAAAGCCAGGCCCTGGTTCCCAAAGCTGAGCCAGCAAGCTGCTGGCAGCTCCCAGGGGGCCTTGGGAGTTACATTCCTTGGTACCCTGACACAGCTCCTAGCCCCTTCAATCACAAGATCGAGTGACTCGTTAACAAGGAAGGCACATGATAAGACAACTTTCCCTACAGCTAAAACCCGCTTGCTTGACCCTACCCACTCCTGACCCTTACCCAGACTTTGACTCAGAAATGATCCCCAATCTCTGTCCTCCCCTCCAATCCCTCCTTTTCCCCAGCCTCAGCCTGGTCCTGATCCTCATTATATATATAATCCTAAAATCCTTGCTTCTCACTCAGCTCTAGACCCAAGGTTCCTTGCTGCCGCAACCCCCCACCGACCTCCGTCCCTAAGTACTCTGGCCTTAGAGAAAAGTCCCCAGGACTCTGCTGACCTGACTCATCTTTTTCCAGATGGATTTGCTGTGGAAACTTGTAAGCCTGCATACCCTTGGTTCGAAGCAAACGAATGGCACAGCCCTTCCGTCTCATTTCCTTGTAGCTCTTCCTGAAATGTGGCCAGGTCGTGAGGGTGAGGCAGGACACGGAGGTGGTACAGTTTTGTGGTCAGCGTGGCCTTTGGTGTATTAGCAGAGGCTGGGCTCAAAGCCCAGCCCTGGCACTTTCCAGCCCCATGACCTTGGAGGAAATGGCTAAAGTTCTTTGAACTTCAGTTTCTTCGTGGGTAAGACAAAGTGAAAATACCTGTCTCAGGGCTCCTGTGGGTGGGACCCCTGGCACCTGGGTGAATATCTGGCTCCTAGGACCACAGATTGAAGGTATGGTGTTACTATCTCATTTTAGAGATGAGAAATCAGGCTCAGGATAGCCAATGGCAAGTGGCAAAGTCAGACCATGGTAACAAGACACTAAAGAGAAGCCACAGAGGCTACAACATTATTAAAGACCCCCTGGCCTCTCACTACCTGCTTTCATGAGTCCTGTCAAGGATGACAGGGGTGGCAAGGTCATGAGTCAATCCAGTCTAGATGGCTGGTGAGATGAAGCTCCAGGTCTGAGGTGGTTAGGGTGGAGACCAGGGCCATTTGGATTTGGGAGAAAGGACCCAGGTCCTTTCTTTGACGCAGGTCAGCCACATTTGGGAGCGAGAAGAAGGCGTCTCTCTTCTCCCCTGAAATATACAAGGGGGCTTCAAAAAGTTAATAAAAAATTTAATAGAAAGATAATGGAAAATTTCCACTAACTTCTTGAAGCCCCCTAGGAGAGTTGGTGGTGCAGTGGGTTACACATCAAGCTGTTAGGCACAAGGTCAGCAGTTTGAAACCACTGGGCACTGAAGAGAGAGAGAGAGAGAGAGAAAGGCTTCCTACTCCCATACAGAGTTACAGTTTTGGACACTCAGAGGGACAGTCCTGCCCTGTCCTATAGGGTCGCTATAAGTCAGACTGGACTCAATGGGGATTTTTGAGTTTTTGAGTATACCACCTATTCTTCTACCCTGCGGATAAAGGACTAGGTGAGGTAGCCACACAGACTGGAGAGCCAATACTTACCCTGTGACCCAGCAACCCAACCAAACGCTTTCAGAGGTCCATGGGTCTTTTGCCTCAAGGTATGATCCCAGGACCAACAACCACATAGGCATCACCTGGGAGCTCCTTGGAAATGCAGGGTCTCAGGTCCTACCCTGTACCTGCTGAACCAGGACCTACCTCCTAAACAAGATTCCCAAGGAACGACTGTGCACGCGGGCACTTGAGAAGCAGTGCACAAGGGTGTGTATTTGAGAATGGGCACTGCCCTTGTACTGCTGCTGGTGGGGAGATGGCGTAAGACATGGTGGATATGCGCCATGGAGAGGAGGCAGCAGATCAAAACGCCACACGAATAGATCTTAACGAAGGAGGTGTGCAATCCCTTTTTGTACACATCTAACATCCATTCCAGCAAAATAAGGGACTTGTTTTTGTTTGCACAAAAACAAAAGGTAGAACGGAATGGCCAAGGGGAGGAACAGGCTAGTGACTAAAGTAAGAGACCACACAGAGAGGAACAGAATCAAACACAATGCCGGAAATTCCTTTCCAGGCAGACCAAGTCATTTAGAGCTAAACACTTGAAAAAAGCAAGTCTGAGATGAAGTGCGGATCTGCTGGCATGAGAGGTTCTAAGCCGGTTCTGTTTGGGCCAAGAAGGAAGGGCTGTCCCCCCTTTGGCCTGTGGAGCCTGGGCAGCTGGGTCCTCTGGAGGGCCCCCTCCGACCCACCCTGCTCTGATGGGGATTTGGTGAGCGCAGGCTTCCAGCAACCCACGTGGCCTGGCCAGAAACATAACCCATAACCGGGGTCAGGCAGAGAATACAGAGATAACAGAGGCTAGGACTGCTTAGCAAGGGGCTCTTCTCGGGCCACACACATGGGGGGCAGGGAGGGCATCTAGAAGAGGAATTGCCCCGGAGGATAGCCCCCTCCTCCCCCAACCCCAGGAACAAGAGTTAATTAAGAGCAGCCACGCAGCGTCAGGAGGACGCTTGGAAGGGGGAGAGGGTGCTTAGCAGCCACCCCAAGGCAGGCGAGGGGAGTGGTCACGGAGAGGGGAATTTGAGTGCGCAGGCCTGGAAAGGCAGAAGCCGAGCAAGGTCTGGGGCGGGGGCAGTGGACCTGACAGCAGTCATCCGCCACGCCACCCGGGGAGGACAGAGGAAGGGTGGGCCTTGGAGCAGTGTGGGGGAGGTGGCCTGCAGCCAGTACGGCCGCCCGAGGGGGTGCTGTGGGGTGTGGGACGCGGGGAGGGGCCACGGAGAGGCAAAGGGGCCTCTTCGGGCTGAGAGTGGGCAGCAGTTATATTGGGGTCAGAGGCAAGTCGAGGTTGGGCGATCCCTGCAGGGCACCCCAACAGAGTCCCAGGGTACTGAGGACGCCCTCCCCCAGGCTTAGATGTCTAGGAGAGGGGCTGCAGGTTGACCATAGGGGCAAGGCAAGGGGTAAGGGCCTGAGCCCGGGAAAATAATTCCAGACTCTTCCTGGGGTGGAAAACCTTTGAGGACCCTCGCCACCTTGGAGTCTCATCCTGCGATCGCCCACCGCACAGGAACTCCGGCGACGGGTGCTGCAAAGTCCGCGCCCTGGCGGCCAGCTCTAGCCATAGCAACGAGAACCGGGCTCAGGAAGACAGATGTGAGCCATATCCACAAGCCTGACCTGAGCCCTCCGCACACAGATCCCAAATCTCTGACCTAAGTCCCCAATCCGTGTACTCAGCCCCTCTCCAATACTAGAGACCCGAAAGCAGAGCTCAGAGAATCTTGGGAAAAGAAGGGTCCAAGCTAACAGGCTTATGTGTGTCCCCCCACCTCACTCTCCCCCAAACTCCCAGCTATACTCAGGGTCTTCCAGGTTGTAATCTTTATGAAAGCAGACAGCCTCATCTTCCTCCCTAAGAGGGGATGGTGAATTCGAACCACCAACCTTGGAGTTAGTAGGCCAGCCCCTATCTCAGAGTGCGATGGTGGCCCAGGTCAAGCCCCAGGCCGCTAATCCCATTGCTCCAGGAGTAGCTAGCTAATTTTGTGAGGTGGAGAAGTTATTTCTCATTCTGACCCAACACCTCCATCTACATTCTGGAACTAACCCCTTGCTGCCTTTATACTGGTCCCTAATCTTTCAAATATTTTCCATGTTAAAAAATAAAGGGATTTGATCAAGCATTTGTGGCGTCTATCCTATTTTCTGACCTGTGTTTTCCAATGTCTAATACAACAACAAAAAAACACTGTCACCAAATTTTAAAACTGACATGTGATCTTGTATCTGAGGGGGCCTCAAAACATTCCTGAAAAAATCCATTTATCTTCA